ATGTAAATGATGTCCTGAATCAAGTTCTGGATGTAATAATTGGCAGGGCGAAGATTATGCCTCACAACCCGTGAACGCCAAATCAATCCGTCCAGTAGCGGCCAAAGGATAGAAGGAGCGCTTGCGCAGACCTTCACAATGATGTCTGGATGGCGTTCGAACAGCGCGTTGTTGCCATAATAATACACATCTCTGTCAGCACGAATCGTCAGTAAATCCTGAAGGATGGCAGTTGCGCAGTCCAGGTGGCCTGTGTCAATAGACCAGTACAGCGGAGAGATAGACTGAGATCCCACTGCCACAGTCAAGAGATCGTGCATCCGCTTGCCACGAGGGGTGACAGCGAGTGCCTTCTTCAAGGCCCCAACATCATTCAAGCTCACCGCTTTCATTACCAAGGTGGACCCTTCCGTGCTGACACGCGCCATGATCTGGCCAATCAGGTCTAAGGACCTGGAGTCACCGCAGTCAGATTGCAGATAAGGGAATAGCAGGTACGTTCTCTTTGCCCCTCTCAAGCCAACTGCTCAGCATACAAGATCCTACAAGAACACGACAGAAGTCTGTTACTATGCCTAAATTAATTTCATAAACTTTAGCTTGAACTTCAATCCAAGAGACCACCTCAAAGCATCCATTTGCACAGGGCGTCGCTCATCCACAAAAGGCTGCATGCATTCTGTGGCCACTTCTGCAAACGGCACAAACATCCAGCTGGGGATATTCATGCCTCTCGCGGCCAATTCTAAAACCAGGGGCCAATCCAAGGGGAACGATTACTGGGGGTTCTGGCCTGCAGACCTGCACGTAATAAAAACCAACAGGCCAAGACGAAGCTACTCGAAGCCACGGCTTCTTTGACAAACCTTGGAGAAGAAAAACACATTAGACCACCTTAGACGAAGGGCGGCAAAACACTCACGAACATGACCATCCCAACATCTTCCCCTAAGGCAAATCTAAGTTACGAAGGCGAATTTCGACAAACCTGAGACGAAGGCCCGAAACTTACACGAACCTCCGGATCCCCCCTCCTTCCCTCAGCGAGACGTCTGTTTGTGGAAGTTTTGGGGGTGCTGAAAAGGCATCAGCGGGGCTTCGTCGAGGGGCCGCGCCATAACCCATTTGTGCTGTCCCCTGAAAAGCCACCGCCCCACCCTTCTGAAAGCGCTGCGGTGTCTTTACTTTCCACATGGAGAATCGTCAGGTGGCGGCACGCAGGCGTAAGAGTGGTCTCTGGCCTTCTCTGAACTGCACGCGAACCTAGGAAGTCTCGCGAGAAAGGTAACAAAGCCAGTTCGATAGCTTTCAGCGCTACGAGGGGAACATCCAGAGGTCTGGGGTTTTGTAGCGGTCCGGGGTGTCCATGTCTGGGGGTAGCTTGCCACCTCTGAACACCCGAGGTCAAGTTCTCATGCTTCCGACACCGTCGCCATTCTCCAGCGGCATGAGCCCTGTAAGTCAATGACACATTCAATTCCGCCAGAGACGAGCTTGTTCACACAGGGAATGCAACAATGTAGGTTTACATCAGAGAGAAGAAGGTGACGGCTATGGCTCTGTCAAGTTCGGGCTTTCCGTTCAGGTCCGTGCAAACATATTCAGGTTTTAGGTTTTCAGGCTATGGGAAGACATGAATCACGACGGCAAGCTTTAGCGTTGTTGGCTTGGAGTCCAGGACGTTGCGAAGATGTTCAGTGCCACTCCACCAAGCCCGCGAAAATGGAAACTGGGGCAGCCGTCATTCAGTTGCAGTCTGCAAGTTGCGAAACCTTCCTGGAGTTCCTGAGGATAGCAACGGAAAAGCTACGCCTTTCTTTTCTCGTCCGCTACCCACCTGGCAAACCGTCGTGGCTGAAAGTGAGCAGAATCAACGTGAGAGTCACATCTTACAGAAACTAAACCTGCAATGGTGGAAACAGCACCTGTCCCGAGGCCCCAGCCCCTGAACCCCCCAATCAATTGTGGATCCGTCACAAAGGCCACTGCTGCCAGGTTGTGGGGCTCTACACTCAAGGAGGTCAAGCGCTGTGCCAGATTCGTTGTTTGGCAGCCGTGCCAGAGCAAGGGGTTGTTTTCTAGCACAACCTCTCCGGCAACAAATATGCAGAGCCCGCCAAACCCGGTGACATTTGAAAAGCTGCAGACTGCCCGCCACACAGCTAAGGAGCGTGATTGGGTGTACAAGTTGTGTCTGCAGGCCCTGTTGAAGCATCTCACTTTCAGAACAAATTTTGCACTTTTCCTGCCAAAGCCCCAATTCGAACTGGAACTGAAAGCAACACCCTGGACTTTGAGAGCTCTTTACGCTGAACCCACCATTCCAAACACGCTGTCCTGAACCCCAATCCCCAGATGCTAGAATCTGCTAGGACCATGCCTACATGTCGCAGGCCCATGCTGGACACCTCACCCACCTCGCAAGGATGTGATTGGAGTCTTGGGTTTCTCCGACATGAAGAACCATCCAGGCAGAACAAGACAGGGTTTTCAGGATGTCTGTAATGTTACAACATGGGTCTTCCTTGGGGCATCCTTGTGTTAAAGGAGGTCTTCGTTGCGTTGGCCGTTTCTTGCCATGTCAACAGTCACATTGGCTTTGCACATGGCTGACAAAATTGTCTGGAGGAGAGGTTTGATCTTGACGGTTCAGGGCTGCTGCTCCCTTTTCAACGGTGGGGGGCTTTGCTTAATCTGCCTCTTGGAGCTCACTTGAGGTCAAATGAAGCCTGCCCAATTCCAAACATGCATGCTCGCCAACACAGGGGTCTTCAAGGGATGTAAAGCGAAAGTCACTGTTAAGGGTTACTGAGACTGCAGGGGATGGTGCATATTCACGACGAATCCCTTGAATTGTTGACTTTGCTTTGAATGTAACAAATTAGGTGTGCCCACCACGATGGCGGGGTCGTCGAAGATCTGCATGGCCGTCAGAAGGATGTGCTCCACGATATAGAGCAGCCTTGGTCGCCCAGTGGATGTAGCTAAAAGAGGTACCATAGTCTTGTAGGGATCCATTCCTTCTCGCCTCGTACAAGTAAGAATACTTACTTCCCTTGCAGAAACACATCTGGTGTGCCTTACACTGGCCCCACCCGTTTACATGCGCGTCAGCTCCCCGCCTCGTGGAGGACACTTGGAAGTGGTCCTGCGCCTCTGGAACAATCTCGAAAAACTTCTTGAAGACGTTGTCGCGATAGGCTTCCAGATCATGCTCTGACAACTCATTGACAAAATGCCGCACATTTCGTCGGTAACGTGACCTTGCACGCTCTCACCCAGACTCCTTTGGCTCTAAAGTCTCCACCTCCTTAGCTAAAAACCTGTACTGAAAAGTCACCCTAAATTCCATGACAGCAGTTGAAACGTGCAAGAAATACTTCCGATCTAGACTCCGATGGGAGGGAGGCACGACCACTTCACACTTACTCTTTTCAAGGGTGGATGGTGTGAACAGAGGGGCCGGAATCCTTTCTTCCCTCCAGACCACACATGTAACAGTCACGCGGCAACTTGCCAAGGATGCCCATGAGAATGCTGGCGATCTGGTCCCAAAACCAATGCCAGGCATCTTCGTATCTAGCATCCTCATCAGTGACACAACTTGCCACATGCACCCCTGCCATGGAATAGTTTGACTTCCCTCAGGCCGCTTTTTGGATCAGCCTGCTTGGCAAAGGATTCTAAGCATGACGCTCTTCCTGAAGCCGTCAACTGTTGGTGCTGAATGCGACTAGAGCCCGAGAATCAGACCGGTGGATGTTTCTATTCCGATGTTGTCGCACTTTCCGCGCCCGATTCCCGATAATGGTGTTTTTTTCTTGAAGTCATTGACCAAGTTCTTCCTGTGCTTAAAATACTACGATGCTCATCTTTGGTCGGACTTCCCTGTCGGATTAATGCAACATATGTGCTGGCTAGACAATAGGCAAGGCCGGATGTCGAACTCAACGACAAAAACATCAACCGTGACGCCGCAAGAGCAAGGTAGCATTTCTGGAGTTCCTCATTACTGTTTTGTAATATTGAAGCCAGATTTTCTTTGCTTTGGATGGCACACTTTGCGGTGCACCACCTCTAGGAGATGCTCATAGCCTGAAACTCCACGGACTTGAACAGGCCAGGTGAAGGACAGCTCAAACTCGCTGAGGGCAGTTCTAACACAAGCAACAGGTTCCGTAGGATCAACCTCGCTGCAGCTCCGTTGCTATGCCGTGATTTCTCAAAAAGGATAGATTCCCACAACAATGTTCCTTCCGAAAAAAACCCATGTCTGAGGAGTGGCAACGGAGTCTTGCCTTATTGTCCCCGAGCAAAATAAAAGGATGGCCGCAAAGAAGGGAAGCCCTGAAGGGCTCAAGTGCGGCATGCCCTCCACATGTTAAGATCCAGATTTACCTCAAGAAGTGATACGTTGTCAGAAGCCACTGCGTGGGCAACAAAGGAGCGGCGTGCTTGGCCAAGTCTCCCAATCTTCAGGCATCACCGAACGAAAAGATGCCAACCTCGGATCTGGATTATCAGCTCCTGACCTCTTCGGGTTTCGTGTCTTTGGGTTCAAGGTCAGGGTCATGGCTTCCGCTTGATCGCGGGGCTAAGAGGACTCTTGCCTTGAGCAGGAGTCTGAAAATCAAAGCCTATATGAGGGAAGTCCTCTTAGGATCGTTCGGAGGATATTGGACTAGACCTGCTCCCAATTTGACATGGGCCTGTATCGACCAAGCTGCAAGACTGTTTTGAATGGAGCCAGGGAGAGCTTGTGCTTTCTGGTCGTGTACTGCCGAGATAGAATCAGCGCCAGCACGTGGCTCTCCTCCCGCAACCGAGGCCTCTTCAAAACTGATCACGGTGAAGGGCCCCCTCTCATATTGTGCAGTTTTTGTTGTTAGAGTCTGCTGTACATATGGCCTGAATTTAGGGAATCTCGACTGCTTTTCACACGAGGACACGTGAATATCCAACAATAAGGCCTCAATGAAAGAGCTTGGCCTCAGAATCCCTCATGACACTACTAGCTTTGCAATCAGAATGGACCTCATCCTAACCAATCCGAGGTTCGGCTTCTCAGCATTTCTGGCCATTGCACCCATATGGTCCAGAATGCAGCGCATCCAATCTGTCTCAGCATAGCCCATGACTGATGCGTTGAACATAAACATTTCCTTGGTATTGGCCACTTTTGACCAACAAGCATCCGTACTCTTTATGAGATTGAAAATCAAAACCATGTACCTACAGCGAGCCTGGCATCATAAAAGCTCTGAGGAGTCTGGATCTTCTTCTTCCTACGCTGTGGCACAGGAGCGTCATCTTTCCAATTCGAGCTGACCTCTGATGCCTCTGGCTCCTGATCCTCTGGATGCGGCGTCTCTGCAGGTGCCTGGTCCTCCATCACCACATGCGTGCTTGCAAGTTCCCAGCTTTTGGTGATGCATCGGACCTTTGCACCGTACTGGCGCTGCACATACAAGAGTGCCCCTCCGATGTAGTTCCAGAAAACTTGGAAGCATTGGAAAGAGAGCGAGGAGAAACGCGCGCCCAGCTGGCCGTCCATTGCGACGCTGATGCTGTGGATTATGACATCTATGCGGTCGCGAGAAGTGACTTCCAAGTGCTGAAACGCCAGCATTTCGACTTTGTATTTCAGCGTCTCAGGATCGCTACAAGCCGCAACGAGGCTGCATGTGAAGTTCATGAAGCGTGTAGCGAAGACCGGCGGTGGAATCTGGAAATGTTTCTGAATATTTGGCTCAACCTGGGTTGCTGTCAAGTTGAGGAACTTGAACTAACATTCAACTGTCAGGAATGCAATCTTGCTACTGTATATCCATATAACCTGATCAGTTCCTTAACAACGACCCGGAAACTTCCATGATCGCATCCCAGACAGCTTCGCCGGCAGCTTGCCTTGAGCCAGACTCCTCAATCAATGCGGTCCAGGTCTCCTGGATTTCTTCGATCCATCCTTCAGGCAAGTGGAGCGCCTCGAACGCACGGTCTTTCACCTTACTTGGGTTGGGAACTTCTGAAAAGATTGTAGGACCGCTGTGGGAGCTCCCTGAACCTAAAAGGAAATTGCCTACTGTACCGATTGCCGACTTGGTCGCGCCGTGTAGATACCTCTCTTCGCAATAAGCTGCCAGGTCAGCCTGAGTTCCTTCATTCTCGTCCGGCTCACCTTCGAAGGTCCCTGACCATGGAACATGTCAATGAAGGATCTTGTTAATGTATCTGCTATACCAGTGGGCTATGCATTCACAGAACATGATCAGTTGCCAGATTGAGTGAAGTACACCCCCGTTTCCCCGGCCCTTCTCGCCAGGACCTGAAAAGGAGGTAGAATCGATAAACTGCGCGAGTTCGACGATGATGGTCGGTACATCCTGCGTGCTCTGCGCGTCTTTACTTTCCTGAGTTGCTGTGGAGCTATCAAATCAAGCTGCACTTGGGTTTCTGGACACAACAGGAGATCCTTCAGACCAAGAGTAGCAGCCCAAAAATGCTGCCACCCGCATCCTGCATTCTGACAAGAGACTTCGGACCAGAACACCAACAGCCGGCCAATGTACATAGAGTCACGGCAGCAGCTTTTGCTGATAATCAAGGTCTAACGTTTAATTGCTTGCAAAACCTTGCAAACAGACTGGGCTTAAGTAGAAGCGTCATGTGTTCCACGTTTTTTCATCGCATCCCAACAGCAAACCAGAATCAATGCGCATTCCCCAATCTGACAGTGCGGATGTTACATTTTAAAACGTCAATGTTCTCCTCGCCCTCCGTGCGGTGCCCAACCGCAGCATATCCAACCGCCGGTATCCCTGTAATGCCCAACCGCACAGTATGACTGCAGTGGCCACCGAAGAATATCTGCAGAGTTTCCCAGCATTGCCTAAGCGCAGAGTACCCCTGCAGCGCCCAACCCAAAGAACCCCAGAGTCTCCAGCAGTGCCCCAACCTGTTCCTGCAGCGTCCAACTTCGGGGTGTGCCTGGAGTCCCCAACCGCAGAGCAAGCCGCACACAAGACGCCACACCACGCCAACGGTGGTGCTCGAAATTAACACGTGCAATGTCTGCCGGCTGGCACAACGTTTTAGAATTACATTGCTGGTACGTGCTCTGTCATGCTCCATTTTGTCGCTGCAACTAGTTGATGACGCCCCGCAACCGCAAAAACGCAAGGTGGGGATGTCCGAAGTAAACATGTTGTTCTTACAGCGTCGTCATCATCATCATCACCACCAAATGTCTTCAGCTATCATTGAATAATTCGAAAAAGGATACAGAATGGATACCGAAGCATCAGCGCGATCATCTGCATCGCTGCTGCCACCAGAGTGTCCGGATGCTCCATGCTCTGACATGGCTGGACATGGCTCAGTTCACAGCTCATCTCGCAGCCTTGCTACGCTTTAGCCACCACTTTTGAAGTCCTCAGCTTGGAGTTGCAGGGTGTGCTTGGCTTTCGATGCAGCTAACCTCTTTTGTTGCCGGACACTTGTTGAGCAAGTACCTCCTCAGCTGTCTGAATAGTATTATGACTGCTGCCCATCGGAGTGTTTTGCCCTTGCTGGCGGTCGGGTGCCTGGGGGAGTGACATGCCTGAGAGACTCGTGTCTGCTTGGTCTGTCTGGTGCTAGTACTATAAGTTAACCTGGCGTGCCAAAACAGCAACAGGGAGCGGCCCAGGCCCTCTCCTACAGGAAAACGCCTGCGAACTTTGAAGCTTGGTTTCCTACTTGAAACTATCTACGCTGCCCTTAGTAGGAAGAAGCAGCGGCGGCACCAGCAGCAGCACTGCGATGAATGGCGATCAAGGTAGTTAAGTGATCAGTGATCCAAAGCCTACTAACAAATTATCCATCACTGAGAAACCAGGTGAGTGTGTCACATGAAAGCGGGCGCAGAGCATCAAAGTGACTGCGAACGCGGCCCGAGCGACAGCCCCTCAAACCATCTGTGGACGGCCCTTTCTGCCCTCAATAACTTCGAGGGCGTGATGTCTGCCTACACTACACCCTCATCATGCCAAGGCTTTTCTCTTGTCTCCTTAACCAACGTGAACACTTGTGCTCCTGCATGCGAAGCCTGAATTCTCTCGGAATATTCAGTGGACGTAAAAAGCTATATCCCCGCCGTATTGCGCATCTATGCTTCTTCGTTTGCTACAAAGATCTACAAAGACCGTGACTGCTGTGGCCCGAGCGCAAAGACCAACAAGCTCACGGTCGAAGCTGCGAAGTGGGGAAGATAGCTTGGACTGGTGATCGAGTCGCCTGGAGGCTCTTTTTTCAGGACTTGCCAGGGCTATGTACGTGATTCTGCAAGACCCCGTTCCCCCTTGTGTACCCCGCACATCAGGGTGGGTTTATGAATTCATGCACCCCGTTTGCTTTTTTTTTTGGGGGGGGGTGCGGGCTTCTAAGGAAACAGCCTCTTTTCTTCATGATGCTTAGTAACTTAGGAATTGGAGTGTCAGAAGGAGAAGCCGCCTGGTCGCTGTAGCGCTTCAGTTATCGTGAAGCCGAGATTTTGAGAGGGACCAACAATTCGATGTCTTGAACCCATTTCTGGAAAGTCCTTCGTCAACGGATAAAATCCCGTAATGGGCCTGACTGCAAGTAAGGTGTCTGTGGTCTGCTGTGTTGGCGTGCAGCAGCCTTAGAAACTGCTTGCAAAACTCCAAGACTCCAAAAGATGTGGTTGCCTGTGTTTCTTGCAGCAATGCAGGAATTCTGCTCCTTGGGTTTTGGGGTCAGTACAGCCTTTCCGTGAACGTCTTGCAGAAGTATTCTATGGTACCCAGAGAGCGTTCATAATTTCTGGGGCGAAAGATCTTGTGCCGTTCAGAGAAACAAGCAAAATCCCAAGCTCTTGGAGTTTTGGAGCCGAGGCCTTCAAGACTGCTGGATATGTGTTCTGGGAAAGCACTGCATTTTCACTCAAAAGCTTTCTTTTTGGCACAATATCCTTGGCAGTCAAAAACCAAGAATTCCCGGCTACGGGTGGTTACCTGTTACATCCTGGTGTTTCTCTCGCTTGCTACCATCACAAATCAACCTGTTACACACTCGTTCAGTTCATTGTTGTGTGTGAAGCGACTTCTCCGTCTTGTTACTTGTGTTGGAGAACGAAGTACAGGCGATGTAAACGAAGGAGGAAGTGAACCTAATCAAGGAGCGAGCGAAATAAGTGAGGGAAATTCACACACGCAGGACACAAAGACAGACAGTGAGAAGGATTCCAGGGCTTGCTTGTTGTAATGTTGTGTGTCTGATGAATTCTGTTTGTTTCAGTCTTTGGTTCCGGCCCGTGGCTGTAAATTCTGCCTGAACTTGGCTAATTACATTTCAGCTCCTCTGTGCAGACATACTTATGCTTGTTCGGACCAGCACTAATGAGTAAGTCCTAACTGAACTTTGGCTTTCAGAGCAAGTTCTATATAGAATGGACAACGCCCATGGATGTGCGGAATCCGAGTTGAATTTGAGATGCATCAAAACAATGCTTCTGTTTTGTTCTGTGCCTTCCGAGGGTCTGACTCCGCGCCAAGGACTTGGTAGGCATATTGCATAGAGGGCTGCATACATTCAATACGCACAGACATTTGAGTTATGCATATTCCCTGTCGTTGCCTTTGCAGCTGGAAATGACCCTGTGATGCAGGCGTTTCCAGCCTGACATCTCCTTTCGACTCGCCAAGCCAGAGGCTGTCCGGACTACCGCACGCAGCAGACACCTGATACGGGATACCGGAGTCCTATACAGGGATGACGGGGAATGGTATACAGGGGACTTGGGTTTTTGAGCAGAATCTCCTTATATTGACAGCAGGACTGCAACATTACGGGATTTACGTTGTGACATTCGGTAGCTAGGTTGCTGGTACAGTCATGTTACGTGTTGCTGTTGATGATACTGGCACAGCATTGTCCATTCATCTCATGTCTACGGAGTGCTTACGACGATTCTACATCCAAGCCACACAGGACCCCACATCCATACCTGAATACACGGCTCAACCAATTTGCGGCCTTTCCTTTCACATGTATAGATGGTGATGGACTTCAGTGGTGATCTCGTGGAGCCTGGTGGCATGCACGGCCTAGTAGATCCTTACCATGACATCACGAACCCCCAATATACTCAACCCTTGCAACAATCACCGGTGTTTCCAAAAATATCAGAAACGCAAGGATTTGCAGGACACATCTCAATTAATTCAGCTCGCCTGCGGCCCCACCCCCGAGAAGATCTGTCTGCAGGATAGTAGCGTTCAGCTTCTGGATGCCAGGATGCACATCCGATCCCTCCTGACAAGGCTGACTAGACGACAAGCATCTTGGAACGAGTCCAGTACAGGTTGCCCCGGGCCCCCAGAAATACAAGCAAATGTAACTTGACATCCTGCTCATTACTGACCCCTGGCAACCAACCAAAGAGGCCTCCCACTGCCAGAAAGCAAGAAGACAAATGCAGACTGCAGACATCTAAGCCTAGGCCCTTCCGTGAAAGCAGGCTTCATACTGGTGTGAAGTGAACCATTGGCGCACACACTGACTATACGACCAGCCTGCAGCTTCAATCCGAGCCTCACATACTTGATGAAAGGCTTCGATAATCTTAAGTTGACACTTGACATGCTTGAAGCAGGCCCCCAGAGCTCGTTGCACTGCATACCAAAAAGAACCTCCTGAAACGCTCTCGACTTCAGTCCTCCTTCACAACATGGCGGTCAAAGAAGTTCAAACGCCGCATGGCTATCAAGCGCTACATTGAACGATGCATTGCAGCAGGCCAACTGATGTCTGTAAGTTGCGAGAGCGAGATTGGGGGAGCGCTCACAGCAGCGTGACAGGAACGGCGCTTGCAATCTTAAGAAGATTTTATCCTGAGCCACTTGAAACGTCGTAGGATAGAGGGCTCATGCATATACTTGCTGCAATGTGCAGTTGTAGCCGCTCTGTGAGCTGCGGACTATTTGAGTCACAGCATCCATAGCGATTCTGAAGTGCAGTGCGCAATGCCGGGGGTCCACCAGAAGATGACGTTAAAGCTGTTATGGCTTGGGCGCTAACTTCTAATGGCATCCATCACTTTCTCGAGCAGCTGGAGGGCAGTCTTGTGATTCTGGCAGCGTTGGCACACAGGAGCCCTGCCACAATACTTGGATTGGAGGTACTCAAGTGTCGGCTTTAGTGCATGTTGCTATCCTATTAATGTAGGAGGCAAGTGCCACCAATGCACCAACACTATCGACCATCAATGCGACCGACGTGGCGACACTTCGGCTCTTGGGCTCTTCCAAGAGTGAAAAGCAACGCCCAAGTCATGTTAGTTGAGCTTGGATTCAGCTCTGAGCCAGCTACCGACTACATCAAGATGAAAAGTGACAGCTCCCACAAGCCAACTCCAGATGATCAACCAAGCTTTGCCTCCCAACGCACAAACATGGAGGTTCGTCTTTAGGGTAGTAGACAGGCCCATCGCAGTGAGGATGGATTCCTTGCCCCGGCCTCAGTCAAGACTTCCTCTAAATAGGAACTCGTCATATTAGTTTCCGTATACAAGGGCCGCAAGGGTGCATATTTTGGTAAAGTGCGCGCACCCTGCCACTAGTTCCGGAAACTTCACGTGTACCCTAGCGTATACCTAGTTAGTGAAGCAAATTGAGTGTTCTATGGAAATTGTGAAGGGCATTGTCCATTTGAATTTGCATTGTGCGCTAGTATTCTTCGGGCGCAGGTGCTAAGCGTTGCTGTCATACTTTGGCTCTGCCATTCGGGGTACTTTACTTCTTATGGGCATACGCTGACTGTCTGCCTCGGTAGTCTAAAGAACTACACTGAGATGCTGCTGCCCAGCACTTACAGCCGCGACTGTAAGGATGCATCTTCAGCTCGATCAAGGTGCTCAGGCAGCTGCCGATAGCCATTGATGCGAATGCTATTCATTGGATACCTTGGTCACTGACAAATGCGGGCCGAGGACAGTGGAGAACCTCGATATCAGTGTGCCCGGACTCCCGCCCCACAACCATAAGGTCTCATACGTCTTGACGTGGCCTGGCAGCCTTGACTGACAGTGTAGACATCCCCAAGATAAAAGCTCACAAGCATCTCTGTGTCCAGGGTCCGTAAGATACCTGGGTACTCCCCTTTTCGTCCCCTCAGCCCAGAACCTTTGACTGACTGGCGGTCAAAATGCAGAATGACGGAATGGAATATGGGGATTATAGCAGGGGATCAGCAAGGGCCAAAGGGACTAGTGTAGGGATTGAATTCTCGTTTCCCTACGAGCCTACAGCCATAACTTTCAACCTCTACGCTGTAAACCCCAAGGTTCATGCAAGATCATGCAGTGG